GTGAGCGCACGGCCTGAGTGGGGTCCTGTATCTGTATCTGTAAACGTATGTGTATATGTACATGTGTATGTATATGCGTCACAGGAGCTTCTGAAGAACAGAGGTTGCCAAGGAACAGTGGCCCACAACATGCGACACTCAACAAAAAACTTCACGACTACTGAGGGATTGCTGTGCTGAGGGTAGATTGACACGAGGTTGCCAAGGAACAGCGGCCCACAACATGCGACATTCAACAAAAAACCTCACGACGACTTTGGGTCTGCCGCGCGGAGGGTAGGTCGAACCGCTGAAAAATGTGTTAATCGCCTTGGCTCGGTTAAAGCCTTGTACATCTCGGGAAGCATCTTATGGTACGAGACGTCATTGCTACATTTGCCATTGTAGGTTTTAACGCTGTTGGACCTCGCCGACGCTGTGGGGCCCGCAGACGAGAGCTAGGGCCCCCGTGCCCCAGCCAAATCCCCACTGCGGCAAGCTCGGCGCTGCCGCCTGGTCGTCTTCGGCGTGAAACTTGGCGGGCGGGTCAGCCGCGGAACCCTGACGTTTCTGCGACAGCTCGCGCGGGCGAGGGCTCGCCAGCGGGCGCCGTGGTGCGCCGCAGCCGCTCGACAAGCCTTGAACCAGCGCTGCAAAGCGTTGGCCTCCTTCGCAGCGCTCCGGGCACACGCCTGCTCGCTCCGTGAGCTGCCCATCGCAGGGCCCAGCGACCCAGCCGACGACCAAGTGGTGCCGTTGGGTGTGTTGCTGGCGGGCAGCCTGCGAACAGGCCCCAGCCGGCTGGCGTAGCCAGGTCACAGCACCCCTTGACCCTGCGGACTCCTGACGCGGCGCCGCAAACAAGGTGCTTGAACAAAAAATATATACCCCAACGTGACGCTTAAACAATTGGAGCGAAACCATCACGTGTCACGGGAAAAAAACCGCAACGTTGAATCGCATGCGACTGAGGACGCTGACGACAGTGCGATGTGTGTGTAGATATATATATATATATATGTGTATGTATGTATGTATGTATGTAAGTAAGTATGTATGTATAGACACACAGTTATTGCGAGCGTTCTTTCGCCTTGCTTGCTTGAAGAAACAGTTTATAGCACCACGGTATGTACAGTGCTGTAGGCCGTGTTTCGGGTACGAACCGCGAAGAAGCACTCGCAATAAGTAAGTGTATGTGTGTGTGTGTGTGCGTGTGTACATGTGTCTATATATATATATATACGTACGTGTATACCGTGGTGCTATGAACCGTGCTCCAGGCTGGAAACGCGAAATAACGCTCGCAACAACTGTGTGTCTATATATAAACATATGAAACGAATATATATATATATATGTATGTATGTATGTATGTATGTATGTATGTATGTATGTATGTATGTATGTGGTTCATACATGTCACTATCACCTGTGGCTTCGTTCTGACCTAGATGACGTGAGAGCTTTGATTTGTACGTACAAACCGTGACACATGCAGGCGTACACATACACGCGTACATAAAAGTTTGGGTATTTGTCGGTATGGCAACAGTTCTGGTACGGAGGAGTAGTAGTAGTAGTAGTAGTAGCAGCAGTGGTAATAGTGGCAATAGTTGTAGTCGTACAAGTAGTAGTAGTAGTAGTAGTAGTAGTAGTAGTAATAATAGTAGTAGTGGTACTAGTAGTAATAGTTTCTAGTAGTAATAATAGTAGTAGTAGTAGTAGTAGTAGTAGTAGTAGTAGTCGCGGTGGTGGTGGTGCTGGTGGTGGTGGTGGTGGTGGTGGTGGTGGTGGTGGTGGTGGTGGTGATGGTGGTGGGGGTGGTGGTGGTGATCCAATATGTTGTTTGTTGTAGCTGTCATTTGCTGTTGCTGCTGCAGCTGTTAAAGGGCTAACTGTCGTGATTTTGCAAAGTCTCGTCGCCATTCACCATCTTACGATGCATGCCGGTAAGCTGAAACCATTGGAAAACCAAGAGGCTCACCATGGAGACAGCATCGTCCAGGCACTCGGCCTGCTGCAGAAATCTTCCGAGCATGACGAGGTAGCGAAGAAAGCCAAGGATATCGACTCGGGATCTGTGGCAGACGAAATGCAGTGGTCAGGTTCAACTGGCCAGGCACCCGAAAAACAGCGCCGTCTGGCTTGAGGCTCTGCCATCGTTGTAGCACCTGGGTTCAGCGCTGCTTTTCTAGGCGCAAGGATACCTGCCATGAATCTGATTTCGCTTTCGGGCCAATGCATCGTCGATGTCTTCCATCCAAACCTGACTTGCTTCACATGACCCCGTTGGCGCATGTGCTGAATGCCCCGAAACCTGCTGAGATTCTGGCGAAGAGGGGTGGGAATGCAAACGATGAGAATTGAGAAAAGAGATGCTCACACACGGGCATTTGTAGCTGTGTTGCAAGCACGTCGCAAGCACTGTGGCTAATCGGCGCCTACATCAACAAGGCAGCTGTGCAGAAGGCGTGGCCTTGACTCTGCGGTTAGACTCTGCATCTGCAGCATCAATCGCTGCAAAGGTCAGGCGCTGTTCTGCCGGAACCTGTGCCACCTCAGCACGCCGATGCTCGCTTTTGATTAGCCGTTTCGGAGCAGGCACTCAAGAGCTCGCCTAAAACATCCTACCTGCCTGCAGTCTCCGAGAGCAGCACAGCAGGGGAGCCGATGGACAGACCGTGTAATGCACGAGATACGAACACTGCCTGCACCAAAAGCCATGACACTAAGACCACCAGCATCCGCATTGGATCCAGGACAAGGTAACGTGAGAAATCACATGCAGTCATCGCTTCTTTGCATTCCTTCGTGTTTGGGATGAAGATGTTGGCACTGGCATCGGCAGCAACAGCAAACGTGGCACATGCTCCAAGTGTCCACTTCTGATTGCCGCAAGTGCTGTGGCTGCCTGCAGCTCACAACAGCAGTGTGATTGAACCTAAAGAACGTCAAGAACATAGGGAGCTCGTTGCTGCTTGCGGGCTTGAAAAACTTTCAGAAAAACTTAGAGCCAGTCTGCCGCCACCCTGGCTACTGAAGCTCCAAAATTCAGGTCACCTAATGTTGCCAGTCCTCGCCATGAGGGCCTGCGCTTTTCCTACTCAGACTTGACCTTAGTCTTGATATGCGTTACGCCGGTAACACGAGATTGGCATTTTGCAAAACCCCAGAAGCCCCGTAACTGACAGCCCGGCTGCATTCCTCGCAAGCGCAACTTGCTCCGAACTGGACTTGTGTAGCGATGTCTCACAAAAAAGCTGTTTGCAGCGTAGTCATTCACCCTTGCCGGGAACTGGGTGTAGACACAAAGACATGGGCAAATGCGGCACCTCAGAGGGAACACATGGGCACAGATGAAGCAGTCGCATGTGGTCTGCGTTGAAGCTTGAGGGTACCCTTAGCATTTTGAGACATTGCCTTCTGACCAATCCACGCCTTCACCAAAGATCGTGAGGGGCTGGAACACGCAAGCGAAAGCTGATGGCCAGCCAGACAACAAGGCATTCGAGTGACTAGCGTGGCTTGGGATGTGGTGTGTGAAACCGGCTTAGCCATCAGCGTTCTTTGGAGCCTCCGTTGATCGCAGGAACTAGGTGCAGGCGTTCGCGCAGTCTCACAACTCTGATGGAGTAGGATAAGAATTGCATGTTGTTGTTAGCAGGGATGGTACGGGAAATCAACCCACCACGACATGACACGAGACGCTGCTTCGAAACGCCTCTCTGTCGAGTCCATTCGGATGTAAATGCAGCTTACAGGTTGAGGAGAAGATAGGCCCAGAGACTCCAAGGAAAAAAGACTGACAGCAAATTACGGAGAGAGGCGGTAGAGGCACTAACACAAAAACCACACCCGCATGCAATCGAAGCACAGGGCGCCGATGCATCTTCATCACGACCCTGCATCAATATTCTGGCTACATCGGTAGCATACATTTCATTCTGATATGCTTTGAGTTCTTGAGGTGCTGTGTATTACTGTCCCTATGTAAGATGTGGTCTCGACAGTAGCAAGTCTCGAAAGGAGTCTGGCATTGCTAGCTCGCAGCCAGATTCTTCGTTCGATCTTTTCGAGCAAACATCAATACGAAGGATTCAGCTTTGCAGTCTTCATTATTGAAGATCGCGAACGGACCATTAGAATCGCAAAGAGAGCCAAGACTCGTCCGATGCCTGTGTGAGCTGCGTAAACGAACTACGATTCAGCATCTTTGCCGGTCTTGCAATTGACCGGTAAGGCAGCGAATTCATGGGACGCATTTAGCGCCCTCTCAGCGGTCGGCAACTGCAGTGATGGCTAGATCTGCGAAATTTGTAGGGTCTGAGCGAGCCCTTGTTTGACCTCAACATGGTCCATTGACAAAGCTCTTGGAGGGTCATGCACTCCTCTGCTGCTGCAATCACGGCAGATGCCGCTGGCGGTTTGGGCTGGACTTCGCTGTCTAATGCGTCCTGTGACAGGGATGATCGAAGAAGATAACCTGGCAAGGCTGCAGAAACATCGTGTCCCAGCAAAAATGCCAGCAACGGCGAAGATTCGAAGCCCCAGTACCACAGACACTCAGTCTCACAGCTGGTGAACCCCTGGAAAAGTGACGCCGGACAACGAGAAACATGAATCCTGCACCCTGAGCACCAAAAGCTACGCAGCCTAAAGCATACACCGCCCACACACACACAAGCAAAGGTTCAAGTTTAGGGCTTAGGATGCAGGCTTAGTGTTCAAGATTGGCCTGCACAACCCCACACATAATCATCTAATAATCATCTAAAAGCAAAAAGCAATCACTCGACATTCAACAATGTGGGAACCTCCTAAATCGTACCTGAGCTGAGCCGAAAACCTAGACGAAAAATCGAGCTGCTAACGTTCGAAGTGCTTTGGGGACCTGAACTTAGGCTGGGATTGAAGGATTGTGAAGCACACACGCTCAAACCCAAACCCAGCCTGGCTGGGATCGATGTGTGTTAATGCTTGCACCATCGCCTGCAAAGCTCTTTCCCTTCGGGATCCGAGAACGGTTCTGCAGTCGGTGAATACTAGCACTTGTAACGCGAGGTTGTCGCGGGCTTTGTGGAATTAGCACTAGTAGCAGTACTAGTAGTAGTAGTAGTAGTAGTAGTAGTCGTCGTCGTCGTCGTCGTCGTAGTAAGTAAGTAAGTAAGTAAGTAAGTAAGTAAGTAAGTAAGTAAGTAGGTAAGTTAGTTAGTTAGTTAGTTAGTTAGTTAGTTAGTTAGTAGTTAGTTGTTCGTAGTTAGTTGTTAGTAGTTAGTAGCTAGTAGCTAGTAGTTAGTAGTAGTAGTAGTAGTAGTAGTAGTAGAAGTAAGTAGTAGT